CGAGTCTCCTGCCTCAGCCTCCCAAGTAGCTGGGACCATAGGCGCCCGCCACAACGCCCGGCTATTTTTTGGTTGCAGCCGTCATTGTTGTTTGGCAGTCCGGGCTGGGGATTCGAACCTGCCACCTTAGGTGTACGTGGCCGGCACCTTAGCCGGTTGAGCTACAGGCGCCGAGCCCAAGGTAGAAACTTGATGGCAGCCCAGCATAGGTTCCCCAGGCCCCTGTCTCCCCTTTCTCCTCCGTCATGAAGCTGGGGGCAGTGGCTGGGCCTAGGAGGACTTTAAGGACCCACCATCAGAATACAGTGACCACATGAGAAGGGCCAGATCTGACCTAATCTTGGGCTGTCCAAGGAAGACAGGGCCACAGGGACAGACAAACATCACGTCTTGAATGTTCAGATACATGTGAGGGCCGCTGAGGCAGGTGTGTTCCTCTCCCCAATCTCCACTTCCCTTGTCACATCCTCCAACCTTCTCTCCTTCCCTTTCCTAGACAGTGATTATTTACCTCCTCTCTGCCATCCATATACTGTCCTAGGTGTGGGGTCAGCTGACTTTTTCCTTAAAGATGGAATGGTAAATATTTTAGACTTTGCAGGCCAGAAAGTCTCTGTTGCAGGTGCTCAAAATGGCTTAGTAGGAGGGACACTTTAGTTTGGGCTGGTGAAGAAAGCCTCTCTGAGGAAGTGACATCTGAATTGACAAATGCATGACGGAGCCTCCGTGTGGAAGTCTTGACCAGGAGGGAGTAGCTGGCACATAGAAGGATTCTAAGACCTTGCTCTGCCAGGCCCTCTGATACTGATGTGGGTGTGTCCTGATGCAGAGCAGAGAAGAGAGACCTTCAAGCCCAGGGGGTCTTAAGCATCAGGATAAGAGGGGGTTGCTGATGATGCAGGAAGGTGTTGAGCCCCCAAGAAAGAAGAGGATGTGGCGTGTCTGAGGGGTGTGTCAGGAGCCTTCCCTTCTCTAGAAATTGGACCTCAGAGCCTAGAGCAATGCCTCTTGGACCCCATGAGTCCCTCCCCTCTTCTGCCCTTGCCTCGCCTTTACAGAGCCTCAAGACTCTCAGATTCAGTGCTTCTTTCAGAGCTGGGGAGTTTGCCATGGGAAAGAAGCAGTGTAGGGAACCCTCTTTTTCTTTTTCCTTTTTATTTGGCCGGGGCCAGGCTTGAACCCACCACCTTCCATATATGAGGCCAGTGCCCTACTCCTTTGAGCCACAGGCACTGCCCTAGGGGAACCCTTTTCCATATCCCTCCCCTTGAAGAAGCTGTGAATTCAGTTCTTACAAAGTAATTCCTGTTTATCATCCAGTCACTGAATAAGCAGTTAACAGCAGCCAATACACTTTACACCTGAGATAGCACCTTCTGGAATAAGGGGAGCCTAGAAGTGCAAGGGTGGAGGGCTTGAGGGCTCTGGCATCTGTGACCATAAACTGAGCTAAGACACCATGGTCAGTTTCCTAGAGTGGAGCAAGGAGGGTCACTACTTCTGGGCCCAGCACAGGGAAACTAGCTTGGCCTTCTGTCCTTGCTACTGAGGAACTGTGGCCTTGACAAGCCACTGAGATCCTCTGAATCTCCCCAGAAGTTAGTGCTTTTGAAGCATTTAGCATAGTATCAGGCAAAGTTGGGCATGTAAGGCCCTCAGCTGCTGTTACACTGTAAACATAGAATAGAAATTGAGGGTGCTTGGGCACTGCTCCTAGAATCTTGACCCATCAGCAAGCACTGTAGATCAGCTGCATTTTTGTGTCCAGCCACAGAACTTACTTTTTATTTAGTTATTGTGAGGTAACCCCCCAATTTTCCCAACTTGTAAAGAATCTATGTTTATTGTAGGAAAGATACAGAAAACTATAAATAATAAAGTGAAAAGCACTCATAATTCCTCTACAGATATGGTTATTAAGATTTGACAGATACGCTCCTAGTTCTTTTAGCATATGTGTGTATTTTACATAATTGGGATTGAATCATAGCACATACTCTTAAATTCTGTTTTATTTTTAAGTTATGCAGTGGGCTCCTTCCCAGATGACTAAATGTTTGTCATAAAGTTGTCCTTTTAATAACTGTGTCATGTCTAATTAATTATTCAAATGTGCCATGATTTATATAACCATTATGTAATCATAATTTATTTTTGACATTTCCATTTTTTGCTGTTAAAATTTTAGTAGCAAATGCTAGATGAGCATCTTCGTACATCTCTTTCTATACGTTTCTCATTATTAAGATTAAGAAATTACAGGCTCAGCACCCATAGCTCAGGGAGTATGGCGCTGGCCACATACACCAAGGTTGGCAGGTTCAAGCTCGGCCCTGGCCTGCTAAACAGCAATGACAACTGCAGCCAAAAAATAGCCGGGCGTTGTGGCAGGCACCTGTAATCCCAGCTGCTTGGGAGGCTAAGACAAGAGAATCACTTAAGCCCAAGAGTTGGAGGTTGCTGTAAGCTGTGACACCATGACACTCTTCGGAGGACAACACAGGGAGACCCTGTCTCAAAAAAAAAAAGAAAGAAATTACAGGTTTGGCCAGGTGCAATGGTTCACGCCCGTAATCCTTGCACTCTGGGAAGCCAAGGTGGGTAGATTGCTTGAGCTCATAGGTTTGAGACCAACCTGAGCTAGAGCAAGACCCCATCTCTAAAAATAGCCTGGCATTGTGGTGGGTTCCTGTAGTCCCAACTATTTGGGAAGCTGAGGCAGGAGGATCTCGTGAGCCCAAGAGTTTCAGGTTGCTGTGAGCTATGATGCCATGGCACTCTACCAAGGGTGACAAAGTGAGACTCTTGTCTCAAAAAAAAAAAAATAAAGAAAGAAACTCCAGGTTTATGTAACCCTATTTTGTGTCTTGTTTTTTTTTTAAAAAAACGTTTGTCAATTCTATTTTTTTCTAGGCTTCTAGCAGTGCGGGAAACTTGGGAGTCCTCATTCCTGTAATAGCTGTGGTGAGTGTTCATTAATTGAATGGTTTAAAACTCCAAATACCTTGCTCAATTTCTGTTGTTCCCTAGTGAAACACGGAAGATTCCTTAGAAAAAGTCAGTTTTGAGACCCTATTGTTTCTAAAGATATGGCTGCTTCAGCCACCACCAGCTCGTCTGTGTCAGCCCACAGGTGTGTGCCCACCATGGCCACACCCTTCACTTGCCCTCTTTGCGCTGTTCCTGAACCTTCTTGGTCAGCTGACCAGGACACTCACTTCAGTTCCCTTCTGTGTGGCTCTGAAGTCCCAGGCTTGACTCCACATGCCTCCTGGGTCTCACACCCTTGCCCTCATTGGTATCTCTGACCAGTGCTGGGCAGGCCCCTTCCTCAGTCTGTCTCTCAGCTCCTTCCTGCTAAGTGGCTTAGAGACCTCTTGTTGGTGCTCTGGCCTTAGAGCTGTAGCCCTCCATTTCCTCTGGGAGTTGCTGGTATGATGGGTATGGGCCCTGCCTCCTGCGCTGTCATTGCTATGGCAGAGCACATTTCCATCTTGTCCTGTCTCAGCCTGTATCTGTTTCCCCAGATGTACAAGTTGTTTTTCTCTTTCTTAGTCATTCATAGCTGCCAGTCAATCCTACACCTTGCTCCCCCCATATTTAGGTATTTACTTTCTACTTAATGCAGTCCTGGTTCACCCTTGTGTCTGCCTCCCACTGCCTTCCCACCTCAGCTCACCCTGTGGAGTTTGAGTCTTGAGTATTTACATGTGTCACCTTCACATTTTGCACCAGTGGGGACAATCTAGGAGCAGAGCTACTGGGGCAAACTAGGGGCATGGAGGTCAGGTAGACAGATGAAACCAAGGGCACAGAGCAGCCCATCTCCAGTTTCAGTGAGCCAGTTCCATGCTCACCCCAGTCTTATTAGTGTTCATCATCAGTCCGAACCTGGAGGCTTCAGGGGGTTCAGTTTTGACTGGCCAAGGTGGATAAGAAATAATAATTGGCTGGTTTATTATTATTTATCTTTAGTAAAACGTCATGTCTTGCATTTTGTGAAATAATTCCACTAGGTCGTCATCCTTTCTTTTTTTTTTTTTTTTGAGACAGAGCCTCAAGCTGTCCCCCTGGGTAGAGTGCCGTGGCATTACAGCCCACAGCAACCTCCAACTCCTGGGCTCAAGCGAGTCTCCTGCCTCCGCCTCCCAAGTAGCTGGGACTACAGGCGCCTGCCACAATGCCCGGCTATTTTTTGGTTGCAGCTGTCATTGTTGTTTGGCGGGTCCGGGCTGGGGATTCAAACCCACCACCTTAGGTGTATGTGGCTGGTGCCTTAGCCGGTTGAGCTATAGGCGCCGAGCCAGTCGTTATCCTTTCTATAGGCTCTCTTTCTCTCCTGCCCCTATCCTGATTCAGGAGGGGTAGTGGGGTTTGCTTCAGGACAAGTATGCTTACAGGGACAAGGGAGCTGGTCTGTAGTGTGCTGAATCGTAGCTGCTGACTTGGAGGCTTCGCAGGTTCCTCTGGGAACCAGACCACCTTCCTGCCCATGCTCAGGTATTCTTTCACAGCCTTCTGAGAATTTCAGGATGGCTGGGCGTGACTGCTATGGTATTTTTCATGCACACCCCCTTTGGTTAATTTTTTTAAACATAAATTTTCCTACTTTATAGTTAATGTTAACTAGTGTATAATTGTGTTTTAGATGTGTCCCTATCCATCCCTCTTGTGTCCATCCAGTCCCTTTTGTGTGGGCTGGAGCATGAAGGCTGAAGCACCTTTTTGGCCTGTTGGGAGGGAAACAAGTTGGCGGCAGGCTCCATGGGAAAGTAGATTTCAGCGTTTTAGGCAGGGTGCTTGGGTGACATCAAAATCAGTGAGTTCCAGGATCTTTGAACAACAGAATTCTATGACCCATTTAGTGATTGTCACTTAGAGTTTAACAGACACATAGAAGAAATCTTGTGGGGCACTTTGCACTTTGGGGCCATGGTGACTGATGAAACTGGTTGGGAGCACATGAGTTTTAGGGTCATGAGGGCCCAGGTTGGACACTTGTCCTGTGTGGAGGTGGCACAGCATACACCTGAGTCTCTCTGTGCTTCTGGGTGGTCTGTGTGGTGATACTGCGGTGAACTGTTGATGGTGATAGTTCAGCACAGACTCACTTTAATACTCCCTTGACGTGACCTTTTGCATGACAAGTATTGTATTTTTTAACAAAAGTTAATGGTTAGATTATGGGGATGGAAACAAATATTTGATTTTATTGCTCAACAGAGAGCACAGGGCTCGTGGATGTTCACCTCTTGAACCTTCCAGGAGAAACTGATTTCCAAAGTTTTTTGTTTTTGTTTTCTAATGTTTTATACTTTTTTCTTTTTTAAAAAAAAGACTTTGTTTTAGACTTTTGATCACATGGTATGTTAAATTACTTTGTTGAGTAGCACTGCCAGCGGTTTTGGGGCAGGAAGCCTCAGTGACCTTCAGGGAGTGGCTGGCAGCTGAGGCACGTGATCTCTGAGGCTGCTTCCTGCCTAAGTGTGATGATCTCACTCTGAAAGTTATCTAATGCATAGAGACCTGCTTATTCCACTGTCATAAAGTAGTGATTTAATAAGATGCACCTCCTGCTCAAGAAACATTCAGTATTTCCTGTAGAGCAAGTTTACATGTGTCACGTTTTGTGGTCTTGGACAGGTTACTGATTCTCTCAGTGCCTGTAAAGTGAAGCTTGTAGATTAACATTTTTTAGGTCATGGACAACCCTTTTGAAAGCTGTGCAGCCTCTCATCATAGAAATATACATTATTAGGCTGGGCACCATTGATCACGCCTATAATCCTACCGCTCTGGGAGGCCAAGGTGGGTGGACTGCTTGAGCTCAAGAGGTCAAGACTACCCTGAGCAAGATCGAGACCCCATCTCTAAAAATAGCTGGACATTATGGCAGGCTTCTGTAGTCCCAGCTACTTGGGAGGCTGAGGCAAGAAGATCCCTTGAGCCCAAGAATTTGAGGTTGCTGCAGGACACTGTACCAAAGAGGAAAGAGTGAGATTCATATCTCAAAAAAAAAAAAAGAAAAGAAAGATAGAAAGAAATGCACATTATTCTCAAGATTTTACCTATAATGTCAGGAAGTTAAATGGGAGAAGCCTATCCAGGGCCCCTACTTAGGCAGCCTGGGGCTAGATACGCCTTCAAATTAAGATGTTAAGGAGTGGGGGAGGCCATGCCTGTAATCAGCCACTTTGGGAGGCTAAAGCAGTAGGATCACTTGAGGCCAGGAGTTCAAGACCAGCTTGTACAGTATTATGAGACTCCATCTCTACAAAAAATTTTAAAAATTAGCTGATTGGCTCAGCGCCTGTGGCTCAACCAGCTAAGGCGCCAGCCACATACACCTAAGGTGGCAGGTTCGAATCCCCAGCCCGGGCCCACCAAACAACAATGATGGCTGCAACCAAAAAATGGCCAGGTGTTGTGGCGGGCGCTTGTAGTCCCAGCTACTTGGGAGGCTGAGGCAGGAGACTCACTTGAGCCCAGGAGTTGGAGGTTGCCGTGAGCGTGATGCCATGGCACTCTACCCAGGGGGATAGTTTGGGGCCTTTTGAAAAAAAAAAATTAGCTGATTATGGTGGTGCACACCCGTAGTTCTAGGTACTCTGAAGGTTGAGGCAAAAGAATCATTGGAGTCCAGGAGTGAGGTTTCAGTGAGCTATGCTCACACCACTACATTAGCAAGACTCTGTCTCTTTTAAAAAAATAATAAAGGATCTGCCAAGAGACTCCTGGAATTGATTAATAAATTTAGTGGAGTCTCAAGTTACAAAATCAGTGTACAATAATCAATAGTATTCCTATACACCGGTGATTTCCAACCCATGTGCTGTGAGAGAATCTTAATTGTGCCTTAAAAATTTTTAAATATCACTAATTAAATTATTTTTGAAAAGTTCAAAGCACAGTAAGTATACTCTTTTTTACTTTTTTTATCAACATAATTTAAGCGTGCCATGAGATTAACTATAGGTTCAAGTGTGCCGTGAGATAACAAAGGTTGAAGAACACTGCTATGTACCAGCAGTCAAGCTGAGAATCAAATCAGAGACTCAGTACCTTTCACAGTAACAAGAAAGAAAATAAAATACCTGGGAGTATATTTAACCAAGGATGTAAAACCCTTTACAGGGGAAACTGTTGAGTTACTGAGGAACGAAATCACAGAGGATGTAAACCAGTAGAAAAAATATATCATACTCTTGGATGGGCAGAATCAACGTTGTTAAAATGTCTGTACTACCCAAAGTGATCTACAGGTTCAGTGCTATTCCCATTAAAATATCAACATCATTTTTTGCAAATTATTTTAGCAAAAATAATTCTATGCTTTCATATGGAACCAAAAAGGAGGATGAATCTTAAGCAAAAAAGGACAAACCGGGGTGGCACCTGTGGCTCAAGGAGTAGGGTGCCTACTCCATATACCAGAGGTGGTGGGTTCAAATCTAACCCTGGCCAAAAACTTCCAAAAAAAAAAAGAAAGTAAAAGGGACAAACCGAATTCTCCCAGAAGCCACTGCTCTTCCTCTTCCCCTAACTGGCCTGAGGTGATCTTTGAAAATGGTTCTTTATTCACTTGACCCAGAAAACCCCACAAAGTCATGCAAGTCAAGAGGCTCAAATCTTCGTATTCACTTTAAGAACACACGTGAAACTGCCCAGGCCATCAAGGGTATGCATGTACGAAAAGCCACCAAGTATCTGAAGGATGTCACCTTAAAGAAACAATGTGTATCATTCCGATGTTAACAATGGTGGAGTTGGTAGGTGTGCCCAGGCCAAACAGTAGGGCTAGACACAGGGTCGGTGGCCCAAAAAGCGTGCTGAATTTTTGCTACATATGCTTAAAAATGCAGAGAGTAATGCCGAACTTAAGGGTTTAGATGTAGATTCTCTGGTCATGGAGCATATCCAAGTGAACAAAGCACCCACGATCCGTCACCGAACTTACAAAGCCCATGGTCGCATTAACCCATACATAAGCTCCCCCTGCCACATTGAAATGATCCTTACTGAAAAGGAACAGATCATTCCCAAACCAGAAGAAGAGGTAGCACAGAAGAAAAGATATCCCAGAAGAAACTGAAGAAATAAAAACTTAAGGCATGGGAATAAATGCAACGTAAAATAAATGCAAATAACTGTCAAAAAAAAAAAAAAAAGGACAAACCAGGAGACATCACTTTACCAGACTTTAAGCTATGCTGCATAACAACATGGTACTGGCATAAGAACAGAGACACAGACCTATGGATCAGAACTGAAAACCCAGATGCAAAGCCTTCCTCATGTTGCCATCTCATCTTTGATAAAGCAGCCTATAACATGCCATGGGGCAAAGAATTCCTATTAAAAAAAAAAAAGAATCCTTATTCAGTTAATGGTGCAGGGGAAATGAATAGCCACATGTACAAGATCTGAACCTGTTACCACTCAACAAAGATGAATTCCTGATGGATAACAGGAATTAATAACATCTTATACCTAAGATGTGAAACTATAAGTATTCTAGAAGAAAATGTTGGAAAAACTCCTAGTCATCAACTTAGGCAAAGAATTTATGAGGAAGACCCTAAAGGCAAACAGCAACAACAAAAATTAACAAATGTCTCTCTCGGCTCGGCGCCTATAGCTCAACCGGCTAAGGCGCCAGCCA